GGGATACACAATGAATGCTGGCCTACCCAGCATTCCCTGTGAATGAATACAAAAAATGGACTGGAGGGTTGCTAATGTTATAGAGAGGGAAGAGGAAAGGTATAAATCAGGAAATCACAGGCCAGTTAACTGAAAAGAATTGACAGAAACCATTCTTGGAAGTCGTTTTCATGGGGACTGGAGGTCTGTGAGCAGTGATGTGCTATAAGGATCAGTGCTGGGTCCATTGCTTTTTATCCTTTATATAAATGATTTGGATGTGAATATAGGAGGTATGGTTAGTAAGTTTGCAGATGACACCAAAATTGGTGATGTAGTGCACAGTGAAGGAGGTTATCACAGAGCACATAGGGACCTGGATCAGATGGGCCAATGGACTGAGGAGTGGCAGATGAAGTTTAATGTAAATAAATATGAGGTGTTCCATTTTGGTAAGGCAAATCAGGGCAAGACTTATACAGTTAATGCTACGGCCCTGGTGTGTGTTGCCAAACAAAAAGACCCAGGGTGCAGGTGCATAATTTCTTGAAAGTAGGTTCACAGGTAGACAGGTGAAGGCGGCATTTGGCACTTGCCTTCATTGGTCAGTGCGTTAAGTATAGGAGTCAGGATGTCATGTTGCAGCTGTACAAGACATTGGTTGGGCCACTTCTGGAATACTGCATTCATTTCTGGTCTTCATACTATAGGAAAGTTGTTAAACTTGAAACAGTTTAGAAAAGACTTACAAGGATGTTGCCAGGTTTGGGGGTTTGAGATCGAGGAAGAGACTGAATAGGTGGGGCTTTTTCCCCCTGGCATTTCGGAGGCTGAGGGGTGACCTTATAGAGGTTTATACGGTCATAAGGGGCATGGACAGGGTGAATAGCCGGGATAGGGGAGTCTAAAAATACACAGTATAGGTATAAGGTGAGAAGGGAAAGATTTAATAGGGACCGGAGGGGCAATGTTTTCACAGAGGCTGCTGCCTGTATGCAAAAAGCTGCCGCAGCAAGCGGTGAAAGCAGGTACAATTGCAATATTTAAAAGACATCTGGATGGGTACATGAATTAGAAGGATATGGGTCAAATGCTGGCAAATGGCACTACGTCGGTTTAGGATATCTGGTCGGCATGGACGAGTTGGATGGAAGGGTCTGTCTCCGTGCTATACAACTAAGATAACCTGGAAGAATTAAAAGTGCATATTTCAGGTACAAGCTTGTTAAAATAATAATGTCTTGCTAATATGATTGAATTAATTGATGTGGTAACAGAGAAGGTTGATCAAGATACAGGAACAGGACTTTCAGATGGCACATCCTTTCACGTTTGAGAAGCTACCGAACAATGCTTTTCCACCTTTAGCTTTTCTGGGCTAAGTCACTTGTCTTTCAACTATAGCCTTGTCCAAAATAAACACAGAGGTCTGGCCAAGTTCACACAAAAACAGATCAGGGAGAATGAAACAAATTAATTTGCTATCAAGTTTCATCACACTATATTCACTATAGTTTACAATGGAATTGCCAAAATAAAGAAACTAAATTAACCAAAAAAAAGGCAATAATATAATTTGCATGTTAAAATTAGGGGACATTGGAATTTTTAATGGGCCACTGAAATGTCAGCAACTGTCACATTAGGAATCTTGCAGGTTTTCTGGTTTATTTACATTCAGTAATATGCATACATATTGGTCCACAACTTTCTTACCCATTAGTATGTGTGGTGAAGGAAAATGATAGAAGCTGATTCCAGAATGGATCATTCTCTGATATGGTTTCTGTGCCAGCAAGACGTTGAAGGTAGCTGTTATTTGCAAGCTCAGCAATGCTGCTGCTATTTGCTCCCATCTCCTACTGTGCAAAGGACCCAGTTCAACTTATACCATCACTGCTTTAATTCCAACCTAAAATGGAAAGAAAACACCATAGACTGATTACAGAAAATGCATCAACAATCCATTTGCATCCATTACCCATCCAAATTTGGAATAAACTAGAAGCTCACTGCGGGTAATGTTCCCGTTAAGCTGCAAAAAAGTCTGAAAAGATACGCTGCAGGCCTTGTGCCGTGATAAAAGTGAGCGTAGTCATGCAATAGAATTTAAAGGGACCACACATTAGAAAGATAAATCACACACACTAAAATTTAAAGGAAACTTTCAGGTATTTCTAATCAACCTGTTCAGAGATGTTATTACACAGCCTAAGCCTCCTGGCTCAGAGATAGGGACACTGCCATTAAACCATAAAAGCCCCAACTTTTATTGTCAACTGAAGAAATTAGTACCACATCTTTTCTACCACTGAAGATGTTAGGCATAGCCCACCCCACTGAAGAATATTCTTTTTTCCCAGTACACATGCCAGTGACTCATGAAGTTACATCTGTTTCAGCCACACTTCTTGTCATGTTTATCCCTTCATCAGTCGACATCCGGCTCAGGAAACAGACCGATCAGTACTTTTGAAGTTCTGCTTTTCAATTTGGACTCTAATCCCTCAAACATTTCAAGCAAAACTCTATTTCTTGTTCTACTTTGTACCTACATAGACTATGATAACCAGGTTCATATAAACATACAGATTATGAGTAGGCCATTCAGTCCCTCAAACATTCTCTGTCATGCAATAAAATTATGGCTGATCTGACTGTAACCTCAAATCCACATTCCCACCTAGCCCTGATAAGTTTTCACCCCATTGCATAGCAAGAATTTACCTACTTCTACCTTAAATATATTCAAGGATTCTGCATTCACTACCATTTCAGGAAGATAGCTGCAAAGACCCATGACCTCCTAAGAGAGAAAAATTTAAAAATCAGTGTTTAAAAAAGGCTAACAGCTGATTTTTAAAGCAAGTCCGCTAATTTTAGATTCTCTCATAAAAGCAATTATCCTGGCGACATTTACGCTCTCAAGATCTCTCAGCATGTTTTAACATGCAAGTCAGCTTTCACTCTTCTAAACTCCAATAGATACAAGCCTAGCCTGTCCAACTCCTTTTCATAAGACAACCTGCCCATTCAGGTATTAGTCTAATAAACGTCCTCTGATCTACCTTTGAATGCATTTACATCCTTTCTTAAATCATGTGACCAATATGCTCCAGATACAGTCTCAGCAGTACACCGAAGTACCATCTCGTACTTTTGTATTCAATTTCCCTTGCAATTTGATGCATTGGCTTTAATTTTCCAAAACTGCCCAGATTCAGGTATGTTCCCATTAGATTGAAAGACTATGAATTAAAATCCTTTTACTCAAAAGAGAAACAAAGCAGGAAACTATAGGCCAATTTCTTGTACTGTAGCTGACATCTGTTTTCCATGCTGCATAACTATGACTCTATAAGCACAATAATGCCTCTACTTCCTCAAAAGGCTAAAGAAATTCAGCAAATCCACAATGACTCTTAGCAATTTTTTATAGATGCACCACAGAAAGCATCCTGGATGCATCGTAGGTGGGTAATGGCAACTGCTCTGCCCAAGACTGCAAGAAATAACAGTTGGTGAACACAGCCCAGTCCATCACACAAACTAGCCTTGCTTCCATTGACTCCGTCTACACTTCCTGCAGCCTCGAGAAAGCAGCCAACATAATCAAAGACCCCTCCCACCGCAATTATACTCTTTTCCACTCTCTTCCATAAGGCAGAAGACACAAAAGTTTGAAAACGCATACCAACAGATTTAAGAACAGCTTCTTCCCCACTGGTATCAGACTTGCGAATGGACCCCTCATATTCAAGTTGATCTTTCTCTGTGCCTTCCTTGTAGCTATAACACTATATTCTGCATTCTGTTCTATTACCCTGATGAACTTATGCAAGGTATGATTTGTCTGGTTAGCCCACAAAACAATACTTTTCACTGTATCTCGACGCATGTGACAATAATAAATCAAATCAATCTTTCAGGCTGGAGGATACCTCCTAATCACCAACATTTCTAATCTGTTTCCTTCCTTGAATTGTCTCCTGCACGGTAATATTTTGGTTGACCATAAGACATAGGAGTACAATTAGACAATTTGGCTGATTGAGTCTTCTCCACTATTCGATCATGGCTAATAAGTTTCTCAACCCCATGTTCCTGCCTTTGAGTCATATAGCATCCCATAATCTTTGATCCCCTTACTAATCAAGACCCTATCTACCTCTAACTGAAATACACTCAATGACTTGACCTCCTTCTGAGACAATGATTTCTACTGATTCGCCACACTGCTTGAAGAAATTCCTTCTCACCTCAGTCCTTCACTGAGGCTGTGCCCTCAGGTCATGGTCTCTTTTAGTGGAAACAAATTTTCCACGTTCATTCTATCCAGATCTCTCAGTATTATTTAAGTTTCAGGATCTCCCCTCATCATTCTAAACTTCAAGTACAAACTCAGAATCCTCAGCCACTCATGCGTCAAGACCTTCATTCCAGAGATCATTCTTGTCAGCCCCTTCCAAGGCCAGCACATCTTTCCTTCTGCTCACAATATTCAAAATGCAGTCTGACCAGGGCCTTATGCAACCTCAACAGTATATTTCAGTTCTTACATTCTAGCCCTCATGAAATGAATGTTAACATTGCATTTGCCTTCCTAATTGACAACAGAGCCCACATCTTAAGACAATCCTGAACTATGATTCTCAAGTCCCTTTGTTTCAGATTTCCAAAGCCTTTCCCCATTTAAAAAAAAAGTCTATGCCTATTCTTTCTATCAAAATTTATAATTTCACACTTTCCCATATTGTAATCCATCTGCCACTTCTTTGCCCACTCTCCTACCTTGTCCAAGTTCTTATGCAGCTTCCTCAACATTACCTGTCCCTTCACCTATCTTTGTGTAATCTACAAACTTAGGAACAATGCCCTCAGTTCTTTGGTCCAGATCGTTTATGTATAATGTGAATAAGCTGTGATCCCAACATTGACCCCTGCAGAACTCCACTAGTCACCAGCTGCCATCCTGAAAAACCCCCTTTTCTGCCACTCTGGCAGTCAGCCAACCCTCTATCCATGCCCGTACTTTACTTCTAACAACATGGATTCTTACGCGATTTAGCAGTCTCGTGTGCAGCACCCTGTCGAAAACCTTTTGGAAATCCAAATTGATCACATCCACTCACTCTCCTATAGCTAACTTGCTCATTACTTCCTCAAATAATTCTAACAGATTTGTCAGGCATGACTTCCCCCAAGGAAGCTATGCTGACTCAGCCTTATTTTACCAATCACTTCCAAGCACTTTGCAATCTCATCCTTAATAACAGACTTACCTCCCTCCCTTCTTAAACAGGCTGTTACATTTGCCATCTTCTAGTCCTCTGGGACCCCTCGTGACTCCAGTGATTCCTGAAATTATCACCACTAATGCCTCTACAATCTTTTCAGCTATTCTCTTTCAGAACTCTGAAGTGTAATAATCCAGCCTGAGTGATTTATCCACCTTCAGACCTTGCAACTTCCCCAGCACCTTCTCTTAATGATGGCCACTACAGTTACCTCTGCCATCTGACTCTCCAAATTTTGCTTTGCTGCTGGTGTCTTCCACTCTATAGACTGATGCAAAGTACTTGTTCAGTTTTTCCACTAGTTCTTTGTTTCCCATTATTACTTCTCAGCATCATTTTCCAGTGGTCCAATGTCCACTCTTACCTTTTATATATCTAAATAAAACTCTTGTAATCTTTTTATATTATTGACTAGCTAGCTTACCCACCCTCATATTTTTAAAGGCATCCGAATCATCTGGCCTCCCACTAACTATCACCACATTGTATGCTTTTTCTTTTGCTTTTACAGTATCTCGGCCTTCCCTTGTCAGCTATGGTTGCCTTGTCTTCCCCTTAATATGTTTCTCCTTCCTTGGGTTGAATTTCTGCTGTGCCTCCCAAATTACACCCAGAAACTCCTGCCAAAGCTGCTGCATTGTCTTGCCTGTTAGGCTACCCTCCCAATCAATTCTGATCAGCTCCTTCCTCACGTCTTTCTAGTTACTTTTACTCAATTGTAATATTGTTACATCTGATTCCAGCTTCTCCCTCTCAACTGCAAGGTGAATTCTATCATATTATGTTCACTGCCCCCTAGAGGTTCCTTCACCTTAAGCTCCCTAATTCTTACACATCACCAAATCCAGACCTGCCTGCTCCCTAGTGGGCTCTACCACAAGCAGCTCCAAAAAAAAAATCTTGTACACACTCCACAAATTCCTTTCTTTGATACTGACTACCAACTTGATTTTCCCAGTCCACCTGCATATTGAAGTCCACCATGATTTTTGTATCTCAATTTATTTTCCTCCCCACATCCTGTCTACTGCTAAGAGGCCTGTACACATCTTCCATCAGGGTCTTTCATCTACCCACAGATTTTACGCCTTCCGACTCTGTATCACTTCTATCAATTTAATTGAATTTCTTATTAACAAGGCAAGCCCACCCCCACTGACCATCTGCCTTGTCCTTTCGATAATGTCCTTGGATATTTAGTTTCCAGCTCTGATCCCCTTACAGCCATGCTTCAATGACACTCAACATCATATCTATTTACGAATTGCATCTGGACTACAACTTTATTTACTTTGTTTTATATACTGTGCATATTCAAGTACAACACCCTCAAGTTTACGATCTCATTTCTTGTAGTCGTCCCCTTACTTGGTATGCATGAAGCTTCCTGACCCTTTCCATACCTTCTGTCGTATTACTTGTTCTGGAAACTTAAATAAACTCCTCCATTTGAACAGTGGTGGGAGTCGGGAGAGAGCGCAAGGGGACTGCTGGGAAGGTAAGCGTTTCAGTTTAAAAGATTTACCTCGTGAGTGTGCAGCCTCCATTTGATCAGTGGCGGGAGTCAGGAGTGTGCGTGAGGGGATTGCTGGGAAGGTAAGCAGCGAGTATAATA